CTTCGGAGCACTGAACACTGTTTATAGCAGTGCTCCAGGAGAACGTTAGAATTGGAGAAATTCATTTCGCCTCAGAATATAAACTTCTATAGTTCCCATTCCCTTCTCTGTAATTTAGAAACCCAAAATATCTGAGAGTGCCCAGATGTCTCCAACCTCATTTGGTGGCCACATCTGAACTTGCACAATCCTCTTTATTTTTTTTTCCGTTGCTCTAATCACAGGTGTCAAAGCAGAAATAATAGTTGGGTTACGAGGTGCTGCCCCAGACCTATGTGGGTTATTTAAATACGGCATCTGCATTGATTTACCTTTCTAAATCCCCCAGATTTTGAATTCTGAAACTCATTTAGGCCGCAGAGTTGTGGTATGGGATTGTGAACCTGTATTCAACTTTCATTTGAGCAACCTCAGTGGGCTACATACACAGACGGGCAGACAGATGCATAATGTGAGATGCAGGTGTTGAGGGCTCAGCTGTTCTATTACATCTCAACATGAACAGTTTAAAAGCAGTAGACACTCACAGCCGAGGCCTCTAGGCCCAAACTCCAGTTATTCTAGGACCCACTAGATTTGCTCTCAGGGAGTCATAAAGCGTTTTTTAAGTGTCCAGGTGTGGACAGAATTATTCATAATAGCCAAAATGGAAACAACCCAAATACCCAGCAACAGATTAATGGTTTAAAAAATGTAGTATAACTAGACAATGGAATCCTATATAATAAAAGGCAAATATGCAAATTGTCCCCCAGGAGTTCGACTGGGAATTTGACCAGTGGCGGGGCCAGCCAGCCTCGATTGGGCCCACCTGTGCATGGATTCATGCACCGGGCCTCTACTATTATCTATAATAATAAATCTATAATAATAAAAGCATAATGTGCTAATTAGATCAGACAGCCAAACGACCTTCCAGACGTCCTTCCAGACATCCTTCTGGACGAAGCCTGGGCTGCAAGGGCTGAGCCCCTTGCACAAATTTCATGCATCGGGCCTCTAGATCAGCCATAAAAAGGAATGAATGGCACCTGCCACGGTGTGGAAGACCTTGAAAACGCTGTGCTTAGTGAAAGAAGCCAGACGTAAAAGGCTGCATGTTGTTTGATTTCGTTGGTATGAAGTGGATGGCTCTCTGAACGGCCATACTTAGTTTACGTGCCTCGTAATTTTTTCTTGAAAAACTGGACATTTTGAATATTATAATGTGTCACTCTCGGAGTAGATCCTCTACCCCCACCCCAGGGTTTGTTGTTGCTGCTCCGTATGGGTTGTAATGATTTATTTGTTTAGTGACTTTTCTAGGCTTTTAAAAATAAAGACTATATTCTTGGCCATGCGGAGTCAGTGATTTAACAGAGATTTCCTTACCTGCCCAGAACAAAACAGAAATTGCCCAGTCTTTGCAGCTGGGCTCTGTGGGTGTTGGGGCACGCTTTCAACACTCAGTGGGCAGTTTACAACCTTTACCTTCACTTCCTGGTTGCACAGAACGAAGGTCAGCCAGAGTTGCGAGTTTAGAGCCTTTGGGGTCTTTTCTGAGCATGTGCCTACCCTGGGCACATGCCCTTCTAGGTTCCCCGGAATATGTAGAAGGTTTTTAAATTTTTATTTTATTTTTTAATAAACTAACTTCTACAGTTTAAATTAGGGCTCACTCTTTGCGTTGTGTAGTTCTATGGGTTTTGGTGAATGTATCTGTCATTATAGTATCGTACAGAGTAATTTCACTCCTCTAACAGCCCCTCCATGGTCCACCTGTTCATCTCCCACCCATCCCCACCCCCCAACCCGGGCAGTCACTGATCTTTTATTGTCTCTATAGTTTTGTCTTTTCCAGAATGTCATAGAGTTGGAACCATACACGTGTGTAGTTCTATGGGTTTTGGTGAATGTATCTGTCATTATAGTATCGTACAGAGTAATTTCACTCCTCTAACAGCCCCTCCATGGTCCACCTGTTCATCTCCCACCCATCCCCACCCCCCAACCCGGGCAGTCACTGATCTTTTATTGTCTCTGTAGTTTTGTCTTTTCCAGAATGTCATATAGTTGGAACCATACACTATATAGCATTTTCAGACTGGCTTCTTTCACTCAGCAATATGCGTCTATGGTCCCTACGTGTCTTTTTGTGGCTTGAGATCTCTTTGCTTCTCATTGTATGGATGTAGCAATTCGTTTATCCATGCTCCTACTGAGGGACATCTCGGGTGCTTCTAGGTTGGGCAGGATGAAGAACGCTGCCATAAACATTTGTGTGCAGGTTTTGTGTGGACGTAGGTTTTTAACTCACTGAGGTAGTCACCTAGGAGGGTGCTGGCTGGGTCGGATGGTAAGGCCATATTTAACTTTGTAAGAAACGGCCAGTGTGGGAGCTTTTCGGTGCCCTTATTCCCCAAGCATCTCAAACTCCAGCCTTTCCTCCCTGCTCTCCGTGGCTGGTCTGTCGGCCCCAGATAATATCCTTTGTCCCGAGCTATAGTGAACGGTTCATTGTTTTTTTAATGTTTTCAGCAAACCTCCTCCCCCCATCCCCATAGCTACTCTCTGCCTTGAGCGAGTTCCAAATCGGGCAAGATCAAGGCCAGACCTTCGCGTTGGACCTTCAGGAGCCATTCCACAGGGGAGGACAGACGGCCTCAGTTCTTTGAGAACGAGGTCCTCTCTGCTGCCTCCCACACCAGAACAGTCCTCAAAACCGCTGTGGTGCTGGGGAGGGGGTGGGAGGAGGGGGTGGGACGGGGTGAGTTAAAACGACACAGGGCTCTCCTCCCAGGTGGTGTCGTTCACCTTTTTCTTTCTTTCTTTTTTATAATATATTTTATTGATTTTTTACAGAGAGGAAGGGAGACGGAAGAGAGTTAGAAACATCGATGAGAGAGAAACATCGATCAGCTGCCTCCTGCACACCCCTTACTGGGGAAGTGCCTGCAAGCCAGGTACATGCCCTTGACCGAAATCGAACCCCGGAACCCTTCAGTCCGCAGGCCGACGCTCTATCCGCTGAGCCAAACCGGCTTTGGCTACTGTCATCTCTTGACTATACTGTCTCTCCTGCGATCTCTCCTCTTTCCTCTTGGGACCCCTGTGAGGCGTTTGCTTCTTCTCCATTCATATTTTCTCAACTTCACATTTCTTTATCTCTGTGCTGATTTCTAGGGGCATTTCCTGGGTTTGCTCTGCCAGTTCATTGATGCTCTCTTAGCACTGTGTAATCTGCTGTTCAACCTCCAGTGAATTTAATTTGAATGTTTGCAGTTCTAGAAGGTCCATTTGTTTCTTTTTAAAAATGTTTGTTCTTGCCCAGCCGGTGGCTCAGTGGTTGAGCGCCGACCCAGAACCAAGAGGTTACCGGTTCGATTCCTGGTCAGGGCATATGCCCAGGTTGCGGGCTCGATCCCCAGTTGGGGGGCATGCAGGAGGCAGCCAATCAGTGATTCTCTCTCATCATTGATGTTTCTATCTCTCTTTCCTTCTCCCTTCCTCTTTGACATCAATGAAAATATATTTTAAAAAAGTTTGTTCTTGTCCCATACTGACTTCCTTACATTATTTTTTGTTGTCTCTCATCGTCCTATTTTTGGGGATGTTTCTCTAGGCTTGTGTGCCATTTTTTCTCTTATTTCATTTTCCTATGAATGGCACGGCTCCTCCAGGGGCCCAGACCTGCATTTCCTGTCACCTCAAGGTGCTGTTTCCTTTTCCCATGTGGCTGTTATGACCCAGGTCCCAGCCTCCAGCGTAATGCTCTTTCATAGAAATATACTCTTGAGTGTGTATATCATTTTAAAATTTCTAATAAGCCACATTAAGAAATAAAAGAGTCCAATGAAAATATATGGCTCAGTGGATTGAGCTTCAGCCTGCGGACTGAAGGGTCCCAGGTTCGATTCCGGTCAAGGGCATGTGCCTTTGTTGCGGGCACATCCCCAGTAGGGGGTGTGCAGGAGGCAGCTGATCGATGTTTCTCTTTCATCAATGTTTCTAACTCTCTATTCCTCTCCCTCCATCTCTGTAAAAAAATCAATAAAATATATATATTTTTTAAAAGAAATAAAAGAGGCAAATGAAATGAGTTTACATAACATGTGATATTTAACCCTCTAGGTACAAAGTATTCTCGCTGTAACATGTCATCAATATAAAAAGTTATTAGTTTTCTGTACGAAGTCTCCCAAACCCGGCGTATATAAAAAGTTATTAGTTTTCTGTACGAAGTCTCCCAAACCCGGCGTGCATTTTACACTCACAGCACATCTCAGTGTCGGGCCAGGCCACATGTGACCAGCGGCTGCCGTAGGGGACAGCGGCTCCAGGCCCATGAGTCTGATGTTCCCCTTGTGCTTACACCTCTGGCTTTGAGTTTTCTCACTGCTGCTGGCACTTGGGGTTTTACCTTTCTCTTGAGCGTGGCTGTGTATTAAAAGTTCTCTTTTCTCATATTTCTATGTGTTTATAGCTGGAAAAGAGGTCAGTTCAGTCCACCGTGTTGCTGGGAGTCCTTCCATTTATTCCTTACAACCACTTTATGATGGAAGCTATTCTTGTGCCCAATTTACAGATGAGGAAACTGAGTCTCGTGGAGCTTAAGTGACTCCCAGGGTCATATGGCTATTAAGTGTCAGAGAACAGACCCAAATACAGGTCTGTTTGAATTCCAAGTCCAAGTTCAATCCACTACACTGTGTTGCCATCTGGTAATTTTTTTTAAAATATATTTTATTGATTTTTTTACAGAGAGGAAGGGAGAGAGCCAGAGAGCCAGAAACATCGATGAGAGAGAAACATCGATCAGCTGCCTCCTGCACATCTCCTACTGGGGATGTGCCCGCAACCCAGGCGCATGCCCTTGACCGGAATCGACCCTGGGACCCTTCAGTCCGCAAGCCGACGCTCTATCCACCGAGCCAAACCGGTTTCGGCGCCATCTGGTAATTTTGATTCCACCTTGTTCCTTTTCAGGAATTAGAGACCAGGAGTTCTCTCCTCCCCGAATCCTTCCACGGCTTTGCTCACCTGGAGAGTAATTCTTGGCCAAAACCTGGCAGCAGATAACCATGGACCAGTACAACCTTGGGGAGGAGGGCGCCCTTCCATCCAAGAGGCACCTCCCTTCCTTATCCGAGAGCCAGGGGCTCCACTGCCGTGACACCCTCAGCCGGGACCTGGGGCCCAGCACACGAGACCTGCTGTACGCTGGCCTGAGCGGCTTGGACCTGGACCCCAGCCTCCCAAAGCCCGGTGTGCCCAGCGAGGCCCTGGAGGACCATTTAGATGCAGTGTCCCTGTACTCGGGGAAGGACGGCGACTCCGTGAAGGTGCTGGAGGAGTATGCAGACCCGGAATCTCAGGCTTCCTTACAAGGTAACGCTGCCCCTCTAAGGCCCAGGGCCTGGCGGGCTGCAGGGGGTTGGCTCTGCCTGATTGCTTATGGAAATGTCTCTTCCAGAGATGACTAGGGAGCAGTTACCCTTCTTCCACTTGGGAAGTGTTCCCAACTTCCTAGTCGCGAAGACTTACCACTGGTGTTAGGGACCGATGCGGAGAACGGTGGCTGTTTGGGGGTATCCTAGTCTCGTGAGTGGTGTGGGCAGACCTTCGAGTGTACGGGAGACTTCCTCTCCGTCACCACTGCTCAGAGGCCCTTTCACACTTCCAGACCCAGCCGGGAGCCTGTCCACCTGCTGCTTCTAAACTGCCCAAGCCCAGGGTCTTTATCCGTAAAGTGGGGGGACAGCAACACCCTCCCTTCTTCCCCAGAGTTCCAGTAAGAGAAAGCAACAGAAGACATGAACGCAGATGCACTTTGTAGACTGCAAAGCTCTGGACAATGAGAGTTATTTGTTATTTTTACCCACATGTTAGATTTCATTTCAGACAGCCCATCGGTTCGTTTCGAAGTCTTTCTCTTCAAGCAGTGGAGTGGCTAAAAGATCCCAATAGTTTATGCCGGAAGCCAATTCCAGCAGGTCATAATTGCAAAAGGTTGATGGAACTTGGGGACTCAACAAGGGCTGAGTCACATATGTTGTCACCTGTTGGGAATGGCTGAGGGCATTTCCCCAAACCTGAAAGGGATGATTGTTGCTGCCAGACAGCTCAGGGCCTCTTAATCTACATGTTACTGCCTCCTACTGGCCAAGCACCTGAACAGCCGTAGGCGATTCTTCCACTCTGACAATGCCTCCGTGTAGGAAACCCTGACCCTGTGAAGTGTTTATCTCTGCCTCTCCTCAGGACAGTTTGTGTTAATAAAAAGCATGGGGTCCTGAGACGAGGAGATCTTAGTTCCTTTTAGCTAGGCTCCTCTGACCCCCATATGCCTTTCAAACTTACGCTTCGTCTCTGGACTCATACTTAAGTTACTCACAGCCCCTTTTCCAGATTGCTGAACCCTTCTTAGTGCCGGAACAAGAACCCCGGCAGTTTAAAGGAGGAAAAACAGGCCTTCATCAAATCTCCTTTTGGTTTGCCTTCAGGCTTCCCCACAAGATAAATTCCGTTTTGGTTTTCCATCCTCTTTATGGTGGTGGGTCAGTTGCTCAGATGGGTTGACTGAGGCAGAGCTCCTTGAAGTTTATAGCCACCCTGTGCGCGTGGAAGGGCACATGTGAAGCAGCCCTGCAAACATGTTAACCTTCACTGGAACAGGCAGCTCCCAAAGGCCCTGAACTTGCTGACATGAAAGCCTTCTGAGCCCCCACTCGCATACGATGTGGAAGCCAGGGCGTTAGTCTTGTCACCCACCATGTAGGAACAGTGGCTAAACGTGAAGTCCTAGGTTCCTGGGACATCTGAGTGTTGTAGGCAGCAGGCCAGGCCCGGGGATACAGTGATGAGGGTTTTCAACCCAGGCCACAGAAATCACCTGGAAAATGCTGCTAAGTGCAAATACTAGTATGTGCGCATTATGCTGGGCAGAAACAGTACAGCTTCCCCTGATTTTCATAGGGGTCTGTGCACCCCTCCCCCACAGTGTTACAAATCATTAGTCTAACTCAGCTTTTCCTAATTTTTCATCGCATTTTTTAAAAAGGGATCTACTGAACATTAAATTTCTATTCTTTACACTTCTCTAACATAAATTTAGGTCCATATAAATGCATATACTTACGTTAATTTTAAAATTAGAAAAGTAATGCATATTTATTAAAGAAAACTTAGGAAATAAAGCAATGTAATAACAAGAAAAATCCCACTCTGGCTCCCACATGTAAATTTTTAAAAATGTGAGTAAAGTCACTCAGAAAAACATGGTTTTGCAGAGATGTATTAAGTGTATCATTCTCTTTTTAAAACTTAGAGTATCTGCTAACATCGCATTTTTTAAAAAGGGATCTACTGAACATTAAATTTCTATTCTTTACACTTCTCTAACATAAATTTAGGTCCATATAAATGCATATACTTACGTTAATTTTAAAATTAGAAAAGTAATGCATATTTATTAAAGAAAACTTAGGAAATAAAGCAATGTAATAACAAGAAAAATCCCACTCTGGCTCCCACATGTAAATTTTTAAAAATGTGAGTAAAGTCACTCAGGAAAACATGGTTTTGCAGAGGTGTATTAAGTGTATCATTCTCTTTTTAAAACTTAGAGTATCTGCTTACTTTTAAAAATATATATGTTATTGATTTTTTACAGAGAGGAAGGGAGAGTGAGAGTTAGAAACATCAATCAGCTGCCTCGTGCACATCCCCTACTGGGGATGTGCCCGCAACCAAGGTACATGCCCTTGACCGGAATCGAACCCGGGACCCTTCAGTCCACAGGCCGACGCTCTATCCATTGAGCCAAACCGGTCAGGGCGAGTATCTGCTTTCTTAGATGCAGGGAGACCACGCAGTGGTCGCTGTAGCAGTCATTTATCCTGTTGAGTTGTTTGACCATATTCTTGCTCGTTAGGCTGCAATAGTGTTTGTGAACAACTCTGCACATCAAGTTTTCTTTTTAGTTAGTTCTTTGGATATCTTCTAAAAAAATGTTTATTGATTGATTTTAGATAGAGGAAGAGAGAGAGAGAGAGAGAGAAACATTGATTTGTCATTCCCCTTGTTGATGCAGTCATTGGTTGCTTCTTGTATGTGCCCTGACGGGATCAAACCTGCAACCATGGGGTATTGGGGTATCGCTGTGCCCTGACTGGGATCGAACCTGAAACCTTGGTGTATCAGGACCGACGCTCTATCAGCTGAGCTACCCGGCCAGGGCCTGAACATTTGCTTCTAAGTCAGTTTGCCCGTCAGAGAACGTACAGTTTTAGAGCTCCTTTAACAATTACTCTCTGGGAAGATCAAGTGCCTTCCCAGACCAGTGACACTGTTTGCCTATTTTTCAATGTCCTTGCTAATTTTTCAAAACAACGTTTTGTTTTCTAGTTTAATAGTTTCTTTAATGAGCATTTTAAAAGTAACTTAGCAAGGCCAGGGCTTTCCCCTGAGGGAGGCCTGTTCTTCCTCATTTAAACTGTTGGAATCTTTTAATCACTCATCACAGTAATTCTCATTTGAAGAAGATGTAAACCAGGCAAGTGAAGTGACAGATGGTCCACCCCAGAGGCTCAGTTGGGACAAAAGTCTGGCTCCTTCCTGCTGTGCTTCTCACACTGCATCTCAGCCACAGAGACTGCCATCTGGGTCCTTCAGTGCCGTCCCCTCCCCTTCCCCTCCCCTGGCCTGTGACAGTCACAGATCCTGCCTCTAGCTTCCTGGCTGAATGGTGAGTTCTCAGCTTGCCATCTCGTGCAGGCTGTTCCATCCCGAAGACCGTCCAAGGGGCAGAAAGATCTCCCGTTGCTCATCCATCCAGCAGATGGTCATTGAGCACCTGCGAGTGCCCGGATGGGAAGTCCAGCAGCTGGAGCAGGGAGCCGGCCGAGTCCCGCGTCCATGCCCTGAGCAGTTGTAGTGATGTGAGACCAGCTCCCTTGACCCTTTAGTCACCAAACTCAGCTCTGTTCCTCGGAGCAAGACAGAGCCATCCACTCCCTGCTCCACACGCTGGCCCTTCAGATGTCTGAGGACATCGCCCCTCCCCCCAGAACATTTCTAGCCCCTTCAGTTCCTCCAATGACATGATTCATAAGAATACCCTTTTATCATTTTACCCCCAAAGTGCAGGAAACATGGACAATTCAGATACACAACAAGAAGAAAATAAAAATGACCAGTCAATTTATTCTGTTTATTATTTTTAAATATATTTTATTGATTTTTTACAGAGAGGGAGGGAGAGAGAGAGAGAGTTAGAAACATCGATGAGAGAGAAACATCGATCAGCTGCCTCCTGCACACTCCCCACTGGGGATGTGCCTGCAACCCAGGCACATGCCCTTGACCGGAATCGAACCTGGGACCTTTCAGTCCGCAGGCCGACGCTCTATCCACTGAGCCAAACCGATTTCGGCTATTCTGTTTATTTTCTGAATACATTTCTTTTTCTTTCTCTGAAACTGGGACAGTTCTGTTTTGCAACAGGCTGCCTTTTTCTGGCTTAGTGCAGCATGAACATCCTTTCGTGTCATCGAGCATTTTTCTATGGTTTTATCTGACGTGCGTATGTCATAGACCATTTAAACCACCATGCCGTGACCTGCCTGCCTCCTGTCAGATATTAGTCGTTTCCAACATTTCTCCAGGAAAAACAGTGTGGCCGTTGAGTCCCTTGCAGCAAACTCTACAAGTCTACATTTATTTCCTTCGTTAAAAACCCCGAGTAGGATTGGCTGGGAGAAAGGATTGAGACTCTCTTAAGCTTTGGAGTGTGTATTTCTGGATTGCCTTTCTCGGGGTGAAATGGATAGGGTGGTCAGGAAGCCGCGCTCATCTTACCCAAGAGGAGCCTCAGACTGCTGCTGTCCCCTCGAGCGGGCACCAGGACTGGGTCCCTCCTGCAGGTGCACCCGACCAGCTGCCTTCTCTCCCTCCCCTGGTCCTAACCCCTGTTTCCTCTGAAGGAAAGCTGCTGACGTGGGGGTTCCCGGCCCACTCTCCCCAAGCCGGCGTGCCTCTCAGCTGCAGAGCCTCCTGCCGGCTCCTTGAGCGCCCCATGTCTCCAACCTGTGCTTTCTCCCCTGTTTAGACCTGGGGCTGGGCCCGCTCAAGGCGCCTAAAGACACTGAGGAAGGAGGCAGGGCGAGCTCGGGGAGTGCGAGGAAGGGGAAGCGGCAGCACAGCTCCCCCCAGAACCCGCTCCTGGACTGCAGCCTCTGCGGGAAGGTGTTCAGCAGCGCCAGCTCCCTGAGCAAGCACTACCTGACGCACAGCCAGGAGAGGAAGCACGTCTGCAAAATCTGCAGCAAGGCCTTCAAGCGGCAGGACCACCTGTACGTAGGAGTCTGGTCCTGACAGCTCTGCAGGGGGCGGGGGAGGAGGGGGCAGGGGCAGGAGCCTTCCTGTATCTCCTCCACCGCCTCCCAGATCAGCTTTTCCCACCCCTCCTGGACGGTCTCACCTCCGTGTTCCCCAGATGGCTGTCACCTGTGCTGAGCCCAGACTCCCCTTCTCACACTGCCAGTGCCTGGGGCAGGGCTGGCACTGCCCTGGACGGTCACTGTTCGGAGCCCCCAGATTCACAGCAGGGAGGAAGTGGCTGCTGCCATGTGTAGCTGGGACCCTGGTGGTTTAAAGACACATAGCGGCTCCCTCCTGAAGCACTGCTGAGTCCCTGGTGGGTGGCAGGGCGACGGGTCTGCATGCCATGAGGGATATGTGCTGGGATAACACTGGGCATGAGAGTGTCTGAAACGCCTGCTTCTAGAACATGACGATGACGTATTAACTCTTGTTTTTCTTTTTGAACTCCTTTCTTTTTTTAGAACCCGATTTTTTTTAATTATTGGTTTTAAAAAGGAAGCCCATGATAAGAGGTAGGGGCAGAACTTCCTTTGTTCTTGATGTCTGGGAAGTGATGAGCTTTTCTTGCTGGTAAGGAAGGAAAGACAGGCTTTTCTCAAACCAAGAGACTTGCACTGGGAAGTACATCCCTTGCATTTTTCCAGCACTCCTAACCCTTACTTTGATTAATTTACCTTCTGTTGTTAATCCTCACGTGGGGGTATTTTCCCATTGATTTTTAGAGAGTGGAAGGGAGGGAGGGAGAAGGAGAGAGGGAAACATTGATGTGAGAGACATAGATTGATTGTCTCCCGAACACGCCACACCCAGGACTGGGGATTGAACCTGTAACCCTGGTATGTGCCCTTCACTGGGAATTGAGAGAGAAACATTGATGTGAGAGACATAGATTGATTATCTCCCGAACACGCCCCACCCAGGACTGGGGATTGAACCTGTAACCCCGGTATGTGCCCTTCACTGGGAATCGAACTCAAGACCTTTCATTGTGAGGGGCCAACACCCTAACCCAGTGGTTCTCAACCTGTGGGTCGAGACCCCCTTGGGGGTCGAACAACCCTTTCACAGGGGTCGCCTAAGACCATCAGAAAATAGATAATGACATATTGTTTTTGTCATTAATCACTATGCTTTAATTATGTTCAATTTGTAACAATGAAAATACATCCTGCAGATCAGATATTTACATTACGATTCATAACAGTAGCAACATTACAGTTATGAAGCAGCAACGAAAATAACTTTATGATTGGGGGTCACCACAACATGAGGAACTGTATGAAAGGGTCGCGGCATCAGGAAGGTTGAGAACCACTGAGGAACCCAAGGGGACACAAATGTTCCTGTTAGAGGAGGGGTGTCCCCGGCTAGCACCTCCCCGTGCGCCCTGCAGAGCTCTGGTTCTCGGGGCTGCTCAGAGAGGCTCCTTGGAAAAACGGTTCTGTGGCAAGTAAGGTTGAGACGCGGAAAGTCAAACAGATGCTTCCCTATCCGCTGCGTGGCCTTTACATTTTGCTCCTGTGCGCTGTGATCCTCCCAGGAGCATATAACGTTTTTTCAAAACTTATTTGCCAGCTGAGCCCAAGTCCCCGGGGAGCAACTCTGGAGGACTGGTGTTCCTCGGGAACCCACTTTGGGGAACTCTGGCCCGGCTTCCACTGATTTTTTTCAGATAAGGGGTTCACTTAAAGGTGAGGGAGAGGAGCACCCCTCCCAGACGGCTTCTCCCGTAGTGGGGGCTGAGGGCGGTTCCCGAATCGTGGGGCACCCTGGGGCCCTCTCAGTGGGAGGCCCTAGTGGAGCCTGCTGACTTCCTTCTCGTGTGTGCCTCCAGGACCGGGCACATGCTCACCCACCAGAAGACCAAGCCCTTCGTGTGCATCGAGCAGGGCTGCAGCAAGAGCTACTGCGACTACCGCTCGCTGCGCCGGCACTACGAGGTGCAGCACGGCCTGTGCATCCTGAAGGAAGCGCCCGCGGAGGAGGAGGCCTGCGGGGACTCCCCCCACGCCCAGGAGGTGGCCGGCCTGCCCGCACCCAGCGGCCTGCGGTCCCTGATGCC